TTTGTGCAAGGTATTTCAGTTTTGAGAGAAACTAACACTATTCCCTAGTAGAAATTTAGCGATTAACTTAATTGCAAATGAAGGTCAACACAATCTGCAGTGTTGTGTACTTGTGTGCACTGACAGAGATGAGGATATACTCTAACAGGTGGATGGTGAAACAAAGCTGTGCTTGGTCTGAGACACTAAGGTCTTGAAAATTCCTGAAAGTTATCGCTCTGAGTTTTCCACCTCCCTGTCATAACGAGATTGACCCTTCAGGAATGTGAGGCAGGTGGGTGGAGAGTCCTGACTGCCACCCTGCCCCACTCCAGTATCTTCTGCAGAACCCAAATGCAGACTACTGCTGGGCTGGGGAGAAAAAAGAAAGAACCATTTTGATTCCTGCAAGTGGAATCTTAGCTTTCTTCTTGCTCATCTTACCAACTCATTTAAAGCTAAGAAAAATTTTCTTAAATGCACATTATGTGATGGAGGGTAAAGGATGACACTCCTAAATGATTGGAAGGAAAAAAGAATAAATGCTATGTAAAAAAGAAATCACCAGATCACAAGTGATCACCAAACCTGGGGTAAATAGTCTCGCTTCAGCTTTAAAAGCTGGAATGGTTCCCTAGAGCCGAACACGTAGACAACAGGAAGACGGAGAAAAACAAGTAGAAAGATGAGTTTTATGTGTTTATTATCTTTGGTTTTAGTCTACAATTTACTTCCTTGTAAGTTTTTATAATTTAATTTTTGTAAGGGCTGTGTTTAAGAACCAGCTTGCAAGATTCCTGAAAGTTGAGCAATCAGCTCTCTGGAGTACATCTATTTATTCTACCTCTGCCTAGAGCAGGCAAGAAAGGAGATGGAGCTCAAGAGATAGAGCTCCCAGATTGTATGGAAAGAACCAAGATGCTATCTGGAGTAAAAGAAAATCTCCGAAGTGAGAAGTGGGATGGTTAACCATGTGAGCCTCAATTTGGAGGGGCAGCAAAACACCTTTCTTCCTTCTGATTGTTGTGACTTCTCCAAGAACCATAACTGAGGTGCCATTCACAAACCACACTGAAGGAGTGATATTTTACAAGGTTATGCGAATTGTAGAAACAATACATATGGTTCTCTGCATTGGTTTGTATTCACTTGAACAAATTACTGAAATGGATAAAAAGTGCCTTTATTTGTGGTAGAAATTATGTTTTGAAATGACAAGTCCCTGACTGGTACCAGATCCCACTCTTCAGTCTGAAAATGGGCTCCTATAAATAACTGAAATCTGAGAGAATAGAATCAATTTCGGAGTGTTTGTATATCTCTTATACTTATCTTGGTGTGTTTCCCTGTAATCATTCAGTGTCTAGACATATTTATTTCAGTAAATTAAAATATAAGTTGACTTCTATTTGGGAATCATATGAAATGATGTGAATTGGATGAAAAATGTGTTATCAATTAAAATTTCATTCATGAAATTCTATACAACATGTTCCTAACATAAATAGCTGCTTGTTTTAATTTTCTCAAGTTAACCTAAATTAAAATGAATCCCAGTAAAACTGAGGCTGTAAAATATTTTTATCACGCATTTTATGCTAGCTATGGATGCAGTAAAATATGAATAGAATGGCACACCAGGTTCTGACTCTAAATATTTCTTGAGCAGCATCTGTTACAGACATTTATAAAGATTCTGCATCAATATTGTATACAGTCTATCTTAAGAGGAAGTTCTTTGATGCTGTCAATGTTGATTCTTGTAATCCTATTTATCTCTCTCTGTCCTTGTTTATTTCTAGTTAACAGAGTTCTCTCTCCTCTTTTTCCTTCAGTTTACTTGCTGAATTTTTCATAATATCCAAGATATATTCAGAATTTAAAAAAATATGTCAACGGAAAAGTCCTATTTTTTCAGTATCATATGTGACTTTTTTTGTTTTGCAATTGACTTAAGTAAAAATGCATTTACTTTTGGAAAAAATTGTGGTTAATAATGGGTTATTCTTTGGTACAAATCAATCATGTATAAAGACTCTGTTTCTGTACAGAATGTGCTAGATTCATGAGGCAGGTTATATTTGTCTTGAGCTAACATCCTGCTTTAAGCTGGGACCTCTCAAAGGGCATTCACGTCTTAAGGTGGAGATTGCTCCTAAGATGAATACATCTTGAAGGTCCAAAAGAATCAGATATAATGGTGGAATGATAGGCAGTGGGGCTGCTATTTTGATAATGGGGTCCTACTGATAATGGGTCCACTTAAACAGCATTGATAGTCCCGTACTCCTCCCACAAATGAGGTCACACTTGTCTGGGACCCAATTCTGTGAGCACTGAGTTGAACTGGCTAGAACACAGTGAGCAGTGGGGTTGGTAAAGGATGTAAGGGCATATTAGCAGAGATCGGCCTGCTCGTCCTTTTGCATAACTGTGTTAAATTGCAGTTTCCTGGTCATGAAACGAGTATTTCCTATTGTTTTTTGAGTTATTGATATACTTTTTACATGATGTATGTTGCAGTGACTGTGACTAGAGTTTATTATTATGTCCTCCTTGCTGGCATTAAAATACAGCCCTGGGAGGCTGACCGGAGAGAGAGATTGCTGATCGGTTGAATTCACATGTGGTTCCCTTCCTCTAGACAATAATCAGAGATACACTTAAACAAAAATGTAGGTTGTGATGACTGCTCTTGCAGAAATTATTGTGTGTGTGTGTGTGAACTATATTTTACATAGTACATAAGTATTTATTTTTTCTAGGTAATTATTTGTGGATGTCAAATACAAAGAATTAGCAGATATCTTTTCAAATATTATAATATATCCCCATGAAGACCATATGGCTATGAAGAAGAAATATATTAATATATCAATATGCAATAATTAACTGTTTCTTATGCTCCCGTGTAGCTGGGGGGTCGGGGGGGGGTTTACAACCATTGGTGAGTTCGCTGATGAATGAGAGATATTAATAGTTTCTTCCTGTTCTATTACTGCAAATGCATCATTGTGTCTGGATATACTGTTTACAAAGTTAACTAGGCAACATCTGGCTGTAAGACCTAGGAAGTCAGGAACCTTATCTATTTGACTCACCCCTCTATGCAGTGAGATGCTAATAAATGTTTAACTGACTGAAAAAAAAAAAACCAAAAAACAATCAAGCCCTGACTTGTAGTGTTGCTGATTTCTGTGGTGTAAATTGCCCTACCATAGCTGATTTCAAGTTACCAACACGATGACACCAAACACAGAGTTGGGAAGAGATGTACACAACTGGCTCTCAGAAGTCTGTAGGTGCTGGCTCTAAGACACTACAGCCTCTAGTCCCAGCTCCTACCTCAATCCTTCACATACAGAAAGTGCGACCAAATAAATATTTAATAAGTGAATGAAAACAGATAGGTCAGTGCAAATCTTCCACCACCACTGGAAAAGCAACTCAAGGTATATGTGGCGTTGGTGAGGGAACGTGGCATCTCTATATGTGGGTGGCACATTTTGGTTTACATTCTTATCCAGCCTTGAAGAATAAACAGTTGACATCAAATTGCACAAACATTTGTCACATAATCAAAAACAGCTAGGTTCTTGTAAATAGCTATTCTAACTCAGCTATTCTAATTCATCTCAAAGTAATTCAGTATTATAATGTAAATTAATAGGAGTATGCCATTTCAAAGCAGAAATGGTCTATATTTTAACTAGTTTATATGTGTGAACTTGTAATTGAAGTGAGATAATTAGGAAGACTAGCATTTGTAGAAATGACATTTTTTTTTCTTTTGAGCTCTTCCTAAAGACAGGCAATGTTAATGGAAATCACTGTTTAGTAGATTAGTTCATTTAATTTAACATTGACCAAGTGCCTATGTGCAAGAAGTCATATTTTAAATTGCCTTAATATCTATTGATAAAGATTTCCCCCTGAAGTGTAACGGCAAATAGTATTTGTCAAATGTTTTTAGAATCAATGCCTAGTCTCTAATACAATTTTATTACACTATTTGGAAAGAAAAGTTACACCATTTTTTTCCCCCTTTAGGAGTAGAACCAATTTTTTATGACTTCAAAACACGTATTTTGACTACAAAGCTTTTTTTAACTTCTCTGCAATTAGATAATAGGAATCACTGCTGTTCGTCGTCTCCCCGCTCTGTTCTTCGCTTTTTCAAAGCTCCCTGTAGGTGTTCATGTTCACTGGTATTTTCTTTCAACAATTCCTGTAAGTTATCCTTTCTTTGTGGATAAGTAAGAGTTTGCAAAACTTTACACCCTTATTCTTCAATTAGATACCGACATGCAATGGTGGTGTCGAGCATGCTAATCAGCGGGACCTCCCTGTGGGAACCTGTGCTAGAAGACTGGTTCACATTGAAGGCAGACAGCGTTGTTGACACTGGCTGTCAAAAAGGCTTCACGTCTTTGAAAGGAAATCTTAATCTTCTTTATTCATGTGTGAACAGGTCCAGGCCCCCAGCCCGCGACCCGTATGCATTGGCTGTTTAAACTACAGGTTGCTAGGCTTTGGGGTAGAGTCTGTTTGCCTGCGTCTACTTCCCCCAAAAGGATGAGGACTGAAAATTAAAATCTGTCTGACACAGACATGGCTTTTCTGTCTCTGTTTGAAGAGACATGGCAACCTAGGGCGAAATGAAAAGGAATTTTATTGAGCGCAAAACCACTCAATGTTTAAATGTTGGTTGCAGGAACTGAATGGCGATTTGGGGCAACTGGTGGATTGTTTATTGACAGTGGGAAGGCTGTCAATCATGGCACAAAGGCAAAATTTGTGTCAGGAAAAAAAAGTGCTTTTCTAGTAGCTGAACCCCTGTTTCCTGTTAACATGCTCAACTCCACAAATAAAAAGCTTTTTTGCTCGAAGTTTCCAAGCACAAAAATTTCAGAATAACAAGAGATGCTTTACTGATCTGGGTGGCACAGTGTAAAGCTAAGTTATGCCCCAGAGACCTCCTACACAGTTTCTCCGTTACATTTGAAACTTCTTCCTCTTGGTTATATCTCTTACTTCTGCATTTTTTGCAAATAGAAAACAGAAAGAGTAAAGATGTAATCACCAACTGGAAATCATCGAAGATACTTAAGACAATACGTACTGTACCATTTTAAAAATCTAGTACAAAAATATCTTAGGCATACATTTGATTTTATTTCAAGAACTCATTTATTTCTAGGAATTTGAAATTTTCTTGAGTGCTCTTTTAGATCATTTTTGAAACATTTTCATTGCTGGTAGTGTTAACAAAATATGTATATATATTTTTATATATGTAATAAAGAAAAAAATTAGTAATATAAACAAGGATCTTCAAAATAAGTTTTGACTCTATATTCCCAGAGAAATCTTAGGACATGCAGAGAATATATATTACATTAACCTCGTGAGTGGTCTAATGCATTTCTTCATTTAACGTAAAAAAAACAAATCAAGATTTGAGATTATATTAGATAATGATAGATTCCAATAAAGCCTTTAATTCTCTGAGTATTTCTTAGACTTCTATGTAGCTAAAGCACACTTTCCCTACATATGTGAAGATAATAAGGCTGACTTACCAGTAAGGAAATACATATTTGCTATTCTAAGGGGATAGTAGCCTTGCTCTGTTGGGTGGACACTTCAACCCAATCCCTTTTGGATTCACACTGTGCATCTATCAAGTGACTGTTCAGAGATATGGGTTCTGTCCGTGTCAAGAGAAAGGAATAGAGCTGAAGGAAAGAAGGTCAGTGAAAACCTTCTCTTGTGATTTTCGGTTTTAGGGAGTGCTAATTAATCATAGCCGTTACTCCCTATCAACTCTAAACAGTTTGATAAATAGTCACAGGTTGGAATAAAAAGTTTGGCAATGCCAGATTGGTGAACAAGGTTTATTCCTAAGTCTGAATCAAGTTTTTCACTACTTTCCTTTCTTCCCTAGTACTTCCCTGAGTAGAGCAAAGTGTTGATGAAATTCTTGCTTTATGGCCCTAAGAAGCCATACCAGGTAGATAAATAACATGTCACTGATAACTGAAGAAATTTTATAGAAAGTGGTCTGGCATGGGCTGGGGTGAAGAGGCAGGAGAGATACAGCAAGCATCCTAGGAATATTTTGGTTGGCTTGAGCAGCCATCAGAATGATGGGAAAATTGAATGGATATTTACCAATTTGGTCATTTTCACCTGTAATAAGAATAACAGTGAGAGAGTTGGAGTCATGTGTTTGAGGTGTCACAGCCCCCATTTGGAGAGGACTGATACCCAGATTCCCTGAGTCCTGCCTGTCCCCTTCCCTCTGATAAAGTCTTTCTCCTTAACCAAACTTTAGTAAGGCTCTGCTGAGCCTTCTTCCCATATAGGCCTAGACCTTGAGCTTCAATGCTAGTCCTTTTTGGGCCTGAATTGCCCAGTTTTAGCAAGAATCCTGCTAGGTCAGTTTAGAGAGAATACCTTACCCTTGATATCTGATACCCCTTGATATCTAATCAAATTCCTTATTTCCCACCATCCCGCAGTGACATCTGATCACCTTGACCTGCCTTCAGCAAGAATCCCATTAACTCAATTTATTATAGCAAGAATTCCCTTTGCCTTTGGTGTCTCCTCTTAGTGAAGTTTTTATTCACTGATCCCCACCCCCACCAGCCTGCTCCTTGGTTATAAAGCTCCACTTGTCTTTGTTGTCTTCAGAAATGAGCCCAGTTTTATACCTAGTTCTATGTCCCCCTATTGTAATAGCTCCTGAATAAAATCTGTTTCTACCGGTTAACTACTGACCAGCTCTAGTTTTCTGTAACATCACTACCTCGAGGATCTCTCAGCTATCCAGTGGGAAGAGGTAAGAACACTGCCCTGTCTAACCGTAAAGCAGAGAATTATTGGAGCCACTGTTCTGGGGAGGTCACTAACACTCTAGAAGGGAAGATGGTTTTCTATGCAGAGTCTCAATGCTGATAAGAACTGCAAGGCGGGTACTACAGATATTGCTAGAAACAGAACCATAAAGGACTGAAAGATCCTGCAATTTTCCATAGCCCCTCCAAACTTCAAGAGTAAAGAAAATGTAATGGCCCATGCATATATATTTCCTCAGGAACCAGGAACAGCAGAGTTGCCATGTCTCCATGTTGGCATTTTGGATTATTAGCTTTGGATAGTTTAAAGCTACTAAATCACCTTGAGCTTCAAGGAGGCCCAAAAAAATCATGAATGTAAATAATGTTAATACAGTAATAATAATGTGGACTCCCTGGGGATTAGGAGAAATATTTTAAATTCCAGAAAACAAAAAGGTTCTTGAAACATAGATTTCTCTTTAGGGTCGGAGCGTGGGGAGGGAATGTTGTTTAACTAAACTGTCTGCTGCCATTCAATTTCCTTGTTTCACTGCTATCACTACGCCCTTCGGGAGTCTTTAGCTGCCATCACTCCTTGCTCCCTTAAAATCATAATTCATTGTGTTATTACAGAAGACTGGGAGACGTTTGCAACCTTGGACAGGAAATCACTCTTGTCTCTTTTCTGGAAATATTACAACTGCTGTTTCTGGGCCCATTGCATCTTTCCCCACCCTCAAGGAAGTGGAAAGTTTTTGAGCGCTGTGATGACCCTAATTTCCTTGGCTTCTCTGGATTTTAGCCTCTGGTTATAAGTCAACCTTAAAAAAGTAACTCAGCATTTCAAGTTGTCTATAGCATTACTATTGATTCCATCCCATTTTACAAAGGTTACTTTATTTTCCCCATCCTAGACCTTTCAAAGACCTTCTGAGTAGCCACATTGGAGACAGAAATGAAAATCAAAATAAACTACCCTAAACTGCAAATGCTATAAGGGGAAAAATTATATTAGGTTTTTCATGTTTCAAATCAAAGTTATTTTTCTTAAAAACAAAACTGAATATGAACTTCTGTGTATTTCAAAATTGTAGACTATAGTAGTCAAATAGTTTTTTAACCCAAATGATAATATCACTAAATATGCCTCTGTAGGAAATGATCCTGAACCCTCCCACCCCATCCCCAGAATCCTTGAACAACAATCCTCTGAACCAGAGCACAAACATTTTATCTCTGGCCAATACCATATTTATTTGTTCAGTTGGTTACTTATTTATATTTTTTAACCCTTGGTATCCGTTTTTTATCATGGCTTCCATCAGTACTTTCCCCAGTGCCTTAGGGCTTCTTTTGGTTTCCACTGTCTCTACTCTCACTTGGGAATTTCCTTAAAGTTTTATTAAATAATACACTGATTTTGACGCAGCCAAATATCAGGTCCTAATATGGTCAGGTCTCCCTTGCTTTGTGAGTCAACAGCATCATTTTTCAGGTTCTGTAAGTATCTAGTTGATCCTCACAGAAGTCCTACTGAATACTGAAATGAAGAAAGACGTTCTTCCTCTGTGTACAATGGGAAAAAGACATGAATAAATAACACCGATCTAAGGTCTAACGACCTAGTGATCAAACTCTCCTATAGAGAGTTTTAGACAGGTCCTTGGCTTTTCTGGTTGTTTTGTTTTGTTTTGTTTCCAGTCACAAGAACAGCCTCATTTAAGTGATTCAGAAGTCTTATCTTAATATTATAATTTCAGTTTTCATCCCCCAGGTCACTTTAGGCTTAACAGCTTGAGCTAAAGGAAGGGTGTGGTCAGTAGTTTGTAGGTGATATGTCCTCTCCCTACCTGGCTTTGCCCTCTCTACTGCCTGAAGCTGCTATTGGTTTGGAGTTGGTGGGGATGGCTGAGTGAGGTGTTAGTTGAAATTTGGGTTCTGGCTCTTACATCATGGGCTATTCTCATAGGTTACATTGGTGATCAGAGTGGGAAACTCTGACTACAGTTCCCTTAGCCCAGCAGGGCTTCCTCAGGCTGCCACTTCCACAGTCCTTCTGCACCTAGACTTTCGTTCACGCCCTCAGATCCAAGGGCTCAGAACCTCCAAAGGTGCAGCCTGGGCTGTGACATGTGTTACAAGCTCCCAGATGATTCTAATCTGCAGTCATACTTGAGATCTATGGATTTAAACCCAAGAAACGTTTTTTATCCCCAACCTCTATACTTCATCCCTGCACTTCAAAAAGCAAAATATCATTTGTATGATATGGTTATCTCTCAACTACCTATAGTAATCTTCATTACCAAAGAAAGCACCCAGCTTCTCATTCTAAAACATCTGCATTCAGGTTAATGGTGATTCTTTCACACTCCCATAAAAAGGTGCCTGTTTATAGTCTATATTTGAATATTTAAATTGCTGGTTTGGGTAGCTTTTTCAAAGCAAACAAGCAGTCACTTTTAGAGAAAGCAAGTTGCTTTCAACTTTTAAGCACCCCCCTCCCCTGACTTTTATTGCTTCAACCTCCCTTAATTTAGTAAAATTTTTAAATAGTTAAAATTTTTAAAAAGTGTTCTCAGTAAAGACACTCCAAAACTGACAACTTGTTGTTTGGTGCTGCAAAAAGAATTTAGCTCTTCTATCAACTAAGGTGAGATGAAACTGCA